GGTTCGCGGGGAGTTGTCCCGGCAAGCTCCGCAAAGCTTGCATCGCGCGTTGGTCGCGGCGCGGCAGCGCCACAGGGGGGGCGACCCCAGCGCGTGGCCCACGCCATCCTGCTGCGCCGAAGGTAATCGTTTGGATGACCGACGGCCCCATGTCGGCCCCAGCTCGTCCACGGGTGCGCCGCGCCGAAAAAAAACGCGCAAGCGCGAGAAGGAGGCCCTTCTCGCGCCGCACGGACTACGGCGTCGACCCCCTCTTGCGCCAAGCCCCAATACCCGAGCAACGTGGCGAGGTTATACGGGCTCTCGTGCCCGCGCTGAAACGGGCAGCCATGGACTTGGCCGGATTCAGGGAGCAGGAACCTCTGGATGCTGGCGCACCCGAACGGATGCGCGCCGCGCCCGTGGCCGCGGGCGCCGCAGGCGTGCTCTACTTGGTACCGGTGCTCCCTCTCGAAGACTTCCTCGGCGACGTGCCCGTCGCGACGCAGCTCCGTCTCGAAACACAGCAGCGCGCTAGGGAGGTCCAGCCCCGCCATCCGCAAGAAGGGCCGCAACTGCAGCAGGCCCTGGAATCACAACCGCCGCCCTGTGCCCTGGCGGAGCATCACGCGCTGCATGCGCGGGGGGAACGACATCCTCATTTCCTCAGAGCTACCCAGAGCTAGGCCAACGTCGTCGCCCACAATAGGCCGGATCCACAATCTGGGCGAGGTCGCAGGGGGCGGCGCCAGAAGACCTCCAGAACGGCGCCGTAACCTCTCCAGCAGCGGCATCAGAATTTCCGGCAGAGGACGGCGCTCCCAGCTCTGCATCGCCCAGGCGGCGTCTTGCATCGAATCGCGCAGGCGCGCGTCGAACAGGTGCGACGCCAGGGCGCAAGTGTCGCAGCCCGCCACGTGAGCCACGCCGCGCTTGAGCACCACGCGGCGCTCCGCCACCCAGCGCGGTGGCACCTGCGTAAACGGCAGCTGGTACTTGGACAGTCCCGGGCGCCTTTCGCCGAGGGTGATACCCAGCAAAGTCAAGGCTCGATCGTGCTCAACTCGAGCCGACGTGACCCGTCGCTGCTGCAGAATAAACCACCTCGCGCGCCCCTAGCCATTGGCTCAGGGGACCCGCTGTGCTGAGCGCAAGGTGTAGCACAAAGTGCCCCACAGTGTTCTTCTACAGGGTCAGCATCGCATTCCAAGATGCTAAGATTTGTAGGCGTGGGCGGCGAGGCTCCCAGCCGGTGCAACAGCTTCAGACGGTCGAACCCTGCCCGTTCGAATACTTCCTGCCGCGCCAGAAACCTCGGCTCACTTTCGTAAAATGGTAGGGCAATGCACCCGGGCATCGGCCCCGTCCAGGTGCGCGGCACACCGCCTGGCTTGAGCCCGATGCTACGGAGGATAACATGTGCGCATCATCTTGCTTGCATTAGGCAACAGGAGGGCGCCGTCAAGCGTCCGTCGCATCCTCTTCCGTTCCCCCCCGCCCGCGCGCACTCATGGAGGCCGGGCTCTCGCCCGACGGCGACGAACCCTCAGAGTCCAAAACGCACGACAGCAGCCAAAGGATCCAGGAGCACTTCCCCCGTGGTTCAGACCCGGGAGACCAGAGCCCATGCCGAGTACCTCCAAGTCGAAAACCGAAATCCAGACACACGCCCGTGACCCCCCTGCGAGCGAGAACCGGCGAACGGGAGCCGGCGAACGGGGAACTGGCGAACGAGGATTCCCCGCAAACAAGGATTCCGGTGGACGGGAACCTAGCGAACGAAGACTCCGGCGAACAGGGGCTCCGGCGAACGGGAATTGGCGACGAGGGACTGGCGAACGGGAGCTCTGGCGGTTGGGTTTTGCATCCTCAACGACGTTGCTTGACGCGAGCAGTTTTTCAGTATCCCGCGGCAAGACAAATGCCAAATGCACGGCGATCGCATGGCTGACGCTGCACATCGCTCTGGCTTTACAAGGCGGCACCCTGCGCCATTTCTTTATTCGCATTTCTCCACTTTGCGTGTCTTGCTTGTGGTCTGCTGTGGTACAACCAAAACCGAGCCGCACTTCTGGCCCCTCGGTCGCGTCCCTGGCAGCTCCTGAGGGTTCGGGTACTTTGGCTTCTTCTGCAAGCGCAGCGCGAGCATCGATACATACTCCACGTGCTCGCACCCGGCGTGGCGACAGAACCATGTGCACGTGCACGCAGCGCCGCGCGCGCAGGCGCGGAAAATGCGGGCATCAGAAGAAAGTATGACGTAAGCAATGTCGTTGAACACGGCGCTCACGCGGCTCACCTGCGCGCCGAGATCTTTCTGCCTCCTGTTCGATGGCCGACTGCATTTTATTAGGGCGCCAGCCGCTTCGAGGCGATGCTGTAACTCGAGACCAGAGGAGAACAATGCACGGGCCCCATGCTCGGCATCCTCCACCACGAGCTTCTTCTTCACGTTCATGATCACCGCGACAACTTGCATCGGGTTGACGTCGAAGTGCTTGGGCGCTTTTCCTGATCCCTCCAGAACCACGGCGTGCACTGTCTCCGTCTGCGACGCTTCCCACAATGCCTGAGCATGAGATCTGCCGGCAGCGATCAGAGATGCCCCATTCAAATGTGCGGGGTCCAGCGCGGGCGGGTACAGCTGCATTTTGTCGTCGGGGTCCTCGTCCCACGAATACCACTTCCTGGAATAATTGTCGCGCAGGTATTGCATGTGCTGCGGGATCCTGAGGGGCGAGTACTTTGCGGCCAGCGCTGCGACCTCCTTCAGCATCGTCAGACCTCCCCCCCACCCCTAGCGGGGCAGGTTTCCTTCGAGCCCCCAGCCGCGCTCCCTCCAGGTGGGGATGGATGCCGCTCGCCCCGACGGGGAGAGCGTGTATCCCCGCCCAGGCAGACAGGATGGATGCCGCTTAACCCGACAGACAAGCGTCTATCCCCGTCTGAGTAGGGAGATCGGACAGCGGGGCCAAGGCTTTCCCAGCGGAGATGAGGAATGGTCTCATGATGCTGCGTCCTTCCGAGCTTTCTCGCAAGGTGAATGCATTGGCTCCACAGAGCTCCCATCGTAGCCGGCCGTCAGCACGCCGCAGCACGCCCATGCCCGACCAGTTTGGGCAGAACAACATTGTCGTGGACTCGCCCTCGTTGTAGCATCGCAGGTTGTACTCCTCTCTCATTTCCCGCGCTGTCGCGCGAATGGTATACTTCTGCGGGCCGCGACTGTTCGGACCCAAGTAGGCGGCGGCTTCCTGCTCGTCGAACTCATGCTTTAAGCGCGCCAGGAAGCCTTCATGCAGCATGGAAGCGCAGTCCAGCGTTGGGATCCGCCGCAGTGCGTTGAGGGCTGCCAGTCCAACCCAGGTTGGTGAGCTCGTAGATGCCCGTCTGGCCAGCAGGCCTGCGATGCTTTATCTTCTTCGCAAGAGTTCCGCTTGTTGTCGTCTTCAAGCTTGCGTGCTTGGCGAAATGGAACTGGTCTTTCGCAGGTTGAGACTTCGGGAACACAACTTTCAGCCTCAATGCCAGGCGCGTAATCACTGCGCAATGCGACGACGCGATGTCGCAAGGATCGGTCACGGATGGCGCTGTCGTGCACGATCCCCAGGCAACGAAAGAAATCCATGAAATTCGGAGCCTCTTCTGTGTTAAAGGTAGCCTGCAGGAGCGGCACTCCGTGCGTCGTGAACGCCCTGCCCTGCACTCGCCCTTGAACCGCGCCGTCTCCCTTTGGGAACGCGGTGCCGCGGAGCTTGTCTTTTGCCTGCAAGCTGATCGCGGCCGCGCCCGCCTGCCCCGACATTGCCCCCTGCTTCGCGTCCACGCCCAGGTGCAGCTAGAAGTCGTCATGCCGCGTCAGCACTTCCACCATCTTGTCGCAACTAAAACAGATGCACAGTCGCCTCGCCATGGTTGGAACTGGTCGAACGCAAGCGCCTCCTCGCGCTCGTCCGACTCGGGGGGGCCGACCGCAGCGCGCGCTTCAGCCGCAAGTCTATCGATGTCCGCCACCGTGCCGCGAGGCGCGGAGTGGGCGCGGCCCCGGGCCCCTTGCCCAATCCCCGGAGCCTCGCTCGTCACTCCTAAGGATTCCTGCCGAGTTCGAGGCCTCTCATCCGAACTCTCTCGGGGATTCTCGCGCGTTCTCAGCTTATTTTTCGAGCGCCAGAAATCCTCGAGACGGGCCCGGAGGCACGGCTCCACCTCGGCCCACGAGGCGCCCAAGAGACGGCCAAAGAGGCCCCCGAGACGGCCCCAGAGGCGCAGACGGCCCAAGAGGCGTCGCAGAACAACCGAAGTCGGGGGGCCCGAACGGACATTTCGAGCTCTCGGCTCTCTGAAGCTGCCAGGAAACCCTGGGAAGCCGTCAAAAAGCTCCCCAGAGACCCCAGGAGGCTCCCAAGAGAGCCCCCGAAAGATACCCTAGACCCTAGAGGACCCAAACGAAGCGCCAAGAAGCTCCAAAACAACCGCACCAGCCTCAAAACTGTTTCCACGAGGCCCACGCGAGACCAACCACCTGATCCCGACGAACACTCCAGAACCCTCTGATTCACAACTCGGGCACGGTGGCAGGATGGGCCCAAGGCCATTAGATAATGGTAGCCAACGTGATGGAGGAGTTCGGCGTGGCGCGCAGCACGCGCACCAGAAGGCGCGTCTGCTCCGATATGCCCTCCGGCTCCGCGCGGCGCCCGAGCCGGACTTTCTCTTCGACTGACGCTGCGAGAACGGCTAGGCCGCGCAAGTGTTTCTGGCACACGGCATTCACCGAGGCCACGAAGGCCCCGTCCGAGATTGACGCGGACACCTTTGGGACCTTTCCGCGCACTCTGGATCCATGGCGAAGTGCTCGAAGACAGCCGGGCACACTTGTTCCAACAAGTGGTTCGACATGAGCATCGTGCCAAGCCACTGCATACCTTTTGGTATGCCCTTCCTTCATGCACTTCCTGCTGATGGGCATCTCGTTTTCTATACTAAAAAATGTGCAGGATCTCGTCGACGTCCTCCCCGACCTTGTCCTGCGCGCCAGAGCATTGAATTTTCAAATGGTCCAGCTTCCCTACCACTTTCGGGCCCGCGCTGCGCGAGAGCAGAGAGCACAGCTGAGTCAGGAAAGGCACCGTCAAGGCGAGATGAAAGTTCTTGTGCATCATCTGAGCGCGCTCCGCAACGTCCGCGAAGGAATGCATGCAACGCTGCGGAGCTCCCACTGAAAATTCTCCCGCTACTTGACACCACCAATCCATGAAAATGACCTCCTGCTGCATGAGTATCACGTGCATGTTCGTCTTCTTCATGTGAACGCCCGGGGGGGGCGTGGCTGCGCCATGCTGGAGCTTGTGCTTCTTCGCCGCCTCCTTCGCAAAAGCTTCCCGATGCCGCGTGTTCTGGTGGCTGAACTCAGCGCCGTGTGCCGCGTCCAGGAACTTCGCAACGTCGACGTACTTGCCCCTTTGCCTGGCCCGGCGCGAGAACGCGCGACGCCTCCGAGCAAACGATAGCAAGATATCCGTCGCAGAAGCGGAAGCGGCTCACTGCGGACGCATTCGTTCCTCCTTACTGGTAATGGTACCGATTTGCCTGGGCCCCCACAGTGCACTGCCCGCCGACGTCGCCCATCGCTTCGAACATGCACCCCATGGGCATGTCCACGGCTTCGGACTTCCCGTCTCCGACGTTCGCTGTGCACACATTCCACCAGCGGTTTCTGCATTTGTACCGCCCCATGTGGACCTCGCACTCCTTGTTGACGGCGCTCATCATGACGGCCCCAGCGCAGTCCTGCAAGAAGACGGCTGGCAAGGCGGTTGCTTTCGCCGCCGCCTCCATGAGCACCACGAACGGGTAGAATATGCAATGCCCGAGGTATTGGCGAACTTCCATCGCAGCTGTTGAATTCACTTTGTCCTTCAACACAGACTGCGCAAATCCATAAAACCGGCGGCCAATGGCCTGCAACGTCTCCGGCTTGCCGAAGCCGTGCATCCACTGCGGCAGCGTCAAAAAGAATTGCGCCACCGCCTTCTGTGCCGCGTGCGCTCCTTCCTGGCGCTTCGTCGCGTCCACATCCAGTAGTTTGGCAGTGTCGCTCTGGAGTCTGTCCGGGCCGCAGTCTGGTAGCATCGTTGTCCGATCCTGCGCGTCAGGCAACTTGCTCGGGACATCTTCGGTTTTGGCGCCTGCGCTGGGCAGCGAGGGAGCGGTTTGCGCGGGCGTCGGCACTCGCGAGCTCGCGCCCGCAACTCCGGCGGCGTCAAGGGCGCGAGGCCTGCTGCTTGGCAGCGGTGCCGCTCATTCCACGACGGAGTCTCAATGGCCAGCAGGAAGCGATGGTTGCCGAAGAACTCGAAGAACTAGTCCGGGGGGCTCCTTGGATTAGAGGAACAGCCGCCCGTCTTGCACGATCTCGCCCGGGTAAGCAGCATGAACTGCGTCGCACTGATCGTCGTCGTAACGCAACCAGCTGCAGTCCAACTCGTGCCGGACGTAGCAAACGTAATGGCCCGACTCTGGAGCGCCGCCCTTGTGAACGACCACGCTGCGCAGAAAATACTGCGACCCAAATTCGAAACTCAAATTCGGGATCACGCGGAGGCGATTCTTCCCTCCCTGGAACGACGTTGCCCTCCCCATCGATTGGCCAACAACCTGTCCCCTGCTTTCTTCCCACCCTGCTGGTCGAGCAAAGTCGCGGACTGCGACTTCGGCGCGGCTCAGCGCAAGTAGCACAAGCGGTTGAGCACCCACAGCGGACGAACTTTTGCCGCTGTCGACTGCACGACCGCACTGCGTGCACGGCGGGCGATCCACGACGATGCCATTCTTTGGATCGCCCATGCGCTCGATTAGATGGTACAGCGTTATCTCGTCTTCCGAAACAGCGACCTCCTCTACGAGGCCCGCAACAGTGATCGTGAAAATGTGGCCAGTCTCCGGTCGTCCACAGATCCTCGCGCACGTGTAGCCCGAGAATGCCATCCAGTGCGTGCGCCATCGAGGTGTTCTGTTGACCGAGGCGCTGCCTGGCGTCGTTGAAGATCGCCTCCAGCGCCTCCGCGGGATCACGCTGCCGCGAACTAAATTGCCACTCCACTTTCCCGCGACCGTCGTGCGCCGCATTGTCGAAGAAGTCCGTGAACTCCAGGAGGTCCGTGGAGTTCCCGTGGCCTCTCGTGGCGGCCTCTGCACTACGCATTGCGCACCATGCGCAATGCGTTGGTTAGCACGTTTCATGGGCGTCATGCTTCCCCATAGGCGCGCCCTGCTGGCGAGCTGTGTAGACACTGCAGTGCGGATGCAAGATAGCACGTCGTCTTGGTCGAGTTCGGGAACGTGCCTCGCGCTGTCTGCAGTGCGTCGAGCGAGGCAATGCCGCCCGCGGCGCTGTCGCCATCCTCTTCAATCGCCGCCTCATCACTGACGCATGCGCTTGCTTCCGCGCAGGCGGCTTGCCCCGCTTCCGCGTTGGCCATAGCCAGATAGTTGCCGAGACACATCGATTGCTGCCCTTTCGTCCGCTTGCGAGCCCCGGAGCTGGGTGCCGAAGCTGCCGACATGGAACCCCGAGCGTCGCCGTCGCTGCCGCCTCCAGATAATCGCCCATCGCCGGCACAATGGTGACGGTCTATGACGCCCGACAGATTCCGTGCGAGATTCGGATTTTGCACCACATGGAAAGCCTTCCTCGCCGCCGCTTCCTCTGAGAGAAGATCCCAGAGCAAGGCGGGGCGCCGGCCAGTGCTGCTCTCCAAGTACCCCGCGACCTGGAGAAACTCTTCGCATCGCATGTGCCTGCGTGCGCGGTAGAGCACAACCTCGCGCGCGGCCTGCTCATCGGCCCACAGCGGGGGAACGAGGTGCTCGCGCATGACGGCAAACTGAACGTGAAATGCTCGTTCCTGGACGTGGGCGTCGCCGGCGAAGTACGCAACGCGCCCTCGAGCGCCCCCCTGCGCTGCATCGCCGCCTGCTCCAGGGCGCCGTCACCGAGGCTCCCCGCGCGTTCGAGCGCGCGCGATTGCTCGGGGCCTCCGCGCAGCTCTGACGCGGACGCGCGCCCGTCGATGGGCGGCGCGCGCACGCCGGCGTCGCGCGGGGGCGCCGCGCTCGGCAGGACAACTTTCGGCCGGGCTTTGAATGAGCATCGGAGGTACCAGTCGGCGTCTCCCCACTGCCGTGCCGCAGTCAGAGCCATGTCTGCCTCTTCTCCGGGTTGGGCTGCTCGAGCAGCGGCGCCCGCGTGCATGTCCTCCATCTGCTTTGCCGGGAATAAGCTCGCCGTCAAATCGGGCCAGTCGACCGTCGACGCGCTGCCCATCTTTTCGTCGATGTCGAGAAGTAGAGCATTCGATGACTCCAGCGTGAAGCAGAGATGCGCTGCAACCTCCTCGGTGGGAGCACCTCCAGCACAGCGCTCATACAGATGCGGAGGTGGCTCCGCGCAGCGCGCCGCGCGCGCGTCGTTCCCGGGGAAATCGTCCACGTCATCGCCCTCCTGGAACGTCATGCCCTCCATGCGACCAGGACCTGAGCATGCCCGAGCTACTGCCGCGTCTCGACACCAACTGACATCCTATCTGTCGCTAAGTTGATCGCGATCGGACGACCGAGATTGCGGCCTCTCCTGGCCACTGGTTCCCTCCGCCGTCCATGACGCACCACTGCCCATCACACCGAAAACTCGATCGACGCCGGTCAGCCAGGGCCGATTGCACGAATGCCCGTCGGGCTGAGTTGCGGGTGGACGCGTCCAATCTGGTCGGGATCACCTGACGGATCCAACAGAACGAGCCCGCGATCGCACCAAATGAAACATGGCGACGCTCAAGAAAAATCGCATTGATCCCAGGGAAATGCAGCCGCACCCTTGGAGTGGCAGCCCGAAGACTGAGTGCGCAAGCAAGAATGATCGAACGATTCCGCAGCGCCGTTTGGCCAGCCGACAACCGCAAATCCAGATCGCCATCGTCCGAGGCCAACGCAGCTCGAAATCTCCCACAGGCACGACGCGTCGTGCTCGTTAGCAGGGTGTAGGAAGGCATTCTTCATCACAAACCCCTCCGGAACCCCGCCGACCGACTCCTCGATAAGGCGTTCCCGTCCGCACGCAGCGTTTTCAAGAACGTCGGCCGAGTCATCGTCCTCCCAGGATGTCGTGCGCTCCCTGCGACCAGGACCTGGGCATGCCCGCACTAGTGTTCTATATTCACAACGAGTGAACATTTCATGTGTCCCTGTGTTAATCGCGGTCGGACGACCGAGAGTGCGGCCTCTCTGGCTGCGAGCGTCCTGCATCTCTGGACGCATCATCGCCAATCGCGCCGATTATCCGATCGACGCCGATCATGCAGGGCCGATTGAATCAAAGATCCCTCGGGCACGGTCGCGGGTTACCGTGCCCGATCTGGTCGGGGTCGCCTGGCGCGGTCAGCACCATGAGCCCGCTGCCGCACTCCATTAACCACGACAACCCCAACAAATTTCGCAGAGACCTCAGGAAAATGCACCCGCGCCCCCAGAATATGATTCCGACGGTGTTGTACGCAAGCACGAATGATCGAATGAACCCTACCTGCGGTTCAGTGAGACGACAAGCACGAATCCAGACCGCCACCGTCTGAGGCTGACGCAGCTTGCATTTTCCCACACACGCACACATGACGCGTCCTGCTCGTCGACAGGGTACAAGGAAGTATTCTTCAACACGAACCCCGCTGGGATCCCGCCGGCCAAGCCCTCGATGGGCAACTCCCATCCCTGCGGCTGCCCAGTGTCGTCACGTGGCATCTCCGAGCGACGGAAAAACCGGCGGCCACGACGACCGCGACGGGTGCGCTTGAATTGCGCCCGCGCTTCATGAGACGCCATTTCTATGTCAAAGGAGCTCCGGCGTGAGTTAACGTGGTCGTCTTGGGTCTGCCCCGAACGTCCTCGAGCCATTATGGCCACGGCCAAAAGGAGGATCGAAATAATCTACTAGTGTACGGCGCAACCGAACTCCGACCGACATGTCCCCCAACAAGCTTTCAAAGTCGCCAATAACCACCACGCAGCGGTTGGAGGTGGCCACGGGAGCGCCGCCCAGGCATGTTCCCCGAGAGACCAACTCTCTCTCAAATGTTAGCCAACGTAGACCCTGAACGATGAGTTATCCTACTCTGTACGTGGAAGCTCCGTTGTGTGAGCTCTGTGTTGTAAGCTATGTGGTGCGCGCTATGTCATGTAAACTAGGTGGTGGGAGCTGTGGTGTGACCTTTGTGTTGCAAGTTTTGCGATGCAAGCTACGCGGTGTATGCTACGTGATGTACACGATATTCCACAATTGCCCTCGGCACCGCTGCATGACAAACTCTGCGTGGTCTGGGCACCCTACTCCGACGCCCTATAAATCCCACCAGCCCGCCGGGCCCAAGAAACCCCAAAGACGTTCAAAGAGGCATCGGAGAAGCGCCCAAGAGATACCCCAATATATTCTGAGAGGCATCCAAGAGGCCTCTGGCCCTTTTGCTCGCCTTCCTCCTTTTCCCTCCTCCTCCTACTCCTCCTCCTTTTCCTCCTCCTCCTCCTCCTCCTCCTCCTCCCCCCCCTCCTCCTCATCCTATTATTCATTATTCTCCCTCCTCCCTCATCCATCCATCCCTCCATTTATCCACCTCCTCCTCCTCATCCTTCGAACGGTTCGGCTGTCCCTCTCATTGCTCTTACATTTCTCTGATCACCTGAACTCGTCTGATCGTCGTTTCTGGATAGGCTGGTGGGGATGCTGATCGTCGTCTGGGAAAAAAAACAATAACACAAAAAAGGCCGCAGGCGAACGCGCCAGCGGCGGGCGAAGTAGGTCGGGCCGCGACCGGCTTAAATTACCGACGGCTAGCGCGCGCGACTAGGCGGCCGCGGCGGCGCCGGATGCAGCAAGCAGCAACTGCGGCGAGGGTGAGGATGATCCCAGGGAGAGCTGAACCCAGGGCAGAGCTGCAAGGTGACCCAGGGAAACCCAGGGAGCACCAAATTAGCCAAACCTGACACGCGCTGCCAAAATGGCGCGAAATCTGAAGAGGCGCCAGCCGAAGCGTCGCACACTGACAGATCAAGCAATGACCGCTCAAAGGTAGGTAAACCTGCGTCCCAGGAGCAATCATGTGCACCGTGGTCCATGCATAGCATAGCAAGACCTGTGAATACATA